AACAACACATATAAGATTCACCAAAGGTGAATAGAAGAAGTAAATTCCACAATGAATCACTAACTCCAGGATATCTACCAATCGCCCCACGCGGTTAGATGTGGCACAAGGCCGAATTTAATGTGGGGTATCAGAGTCCGTAGGCTCAGCCAAAAATTCCCCGTAGACCCCGTATAAAATGGGGTCGGGTAGTTTTTTTTCCCGAGACGAGACTCTGCCCTTCAACATACCCTTCTCTGGGTATCCTCTCTGCTCAGAGGCAGAGAATTTGATCAGCATAGCTGGAGACGAATCTCCGACTGCAGACCAACATACAGTATTTACTACTTTATTTATGTGAATGGGGACGTATCCATTATCGTCCGTAGGTATGCTATAACAAATACATTTCGTAGAACGTGTTCTATCACTTTATGAAAATTCATGAATGACACATGACGAATAAGCTATGCAGCATGTCTCTCCTGAAGCGTTTCTAAAAACCCAGCTGAAGCATTTTGATATAAGCCACAAGGGCAGAATACAATTGATTTTGAATTTCTGTTTTAAGGAATTATTTATATTATTAATTAAGCTAATATGGCTAATCTGGTATAGTAGATGAGGATTAAAAGAGATTATCGTAACTTCTATAGAACAAAGCCAAATTATACGCATAGGGCATCGATGGGGAATAAAAATGTTCAAAGAACATGCGTACATGTTAAGATCGATCAGCATGTCAAGTATAACTATAATATCAATGATATATCAAAGCGATATCATATCAATGATATAGCATATCATATGAATACGATATCATATCAATGATATGATGTCATATATCAATTATATCATATCAATGCGATATCATGTCAATGAAATCATATAAATGATATCATATCATAGATCAATGATATATCAATGCGATATCATATAAATGATATCATATAAATGATATCATATCATAGATCAATGATATCATATCAATGCGATATCATATCAATGCAATATCATATCAATGATATGCCATATATCAATTATATCATATCAATACAAAATCATATGAAGGATATCATATAAATAAATAAGAATAAATAATAAGAAACATGTTTCAGTCCAGAAACAAACGTCGGTTAGTATTAGGTTTCTCTTCTTGCTCGCTACACATATCCTTATAATTAACACCTTGGACCTTGTATTACGGGAAACAATTAATCCGTGCCGACCGCTGCCTGGAATCATAAAGTCATTGTAAACTCCATTATCGTTTTAATTTAATGAATAGTTTTATATCTTTCGTCAGGGTGACATATGGTTTTGAATTCAGAGTTGTCCTTCTCCTAGACAAGTTCGCAGCAGAAGCTGAAGAGCCCAGTACATTCTACTTTTTAACCCATACTTGAGGGATTCATGGATTCATCCCTTTCTAAGGAGTATTTGCGCGAACGAGGATGTCACGAAAGTCGACAGGAACGCGTATTCAGTTTACCGATTTCTGTACATTATACACTGGCACATTCATTGGGTGCGCAATAGCAAAACAAAAATTGCAGATTCTTTTTTTTTATAAAAATAATATTGCAGGCAATCAATGAAAAATGGTTTTATTCCAATGCCAGGAATCCTGACTGCATCGAAGGCAGCCTATATTATTTCACTCTAAGTTGAATCAGCCGGGGGAAATGATTTATTAAAAATGATATAAAACTGGAAAAACTGCAGCTGCAAATCCCTGCACAAAGCAACTGATTTATTAAAATGACTTATTGGGAGTGAAAAGTTCTTTAATCTGCTGAAGGAAGAAATGTTCACGGATTTGGTTGCATCGAAACAACGGTCTTCAAGTCTTCAAAATATGAGGGTAGCAAACAGCCATGGAAATAAGATGGAAATTTATTCCACACACGGCGTTCTCTCCAGACCTGACAACGACAGGCTATCATGTGATTGGTTTCATGAAGCATTCCTTATTTTGGTCAGATGAGCCAACAAATCGAAGATAAAAGAAAATTCTTCGACTCAAAACAAGAATCATTCTCGTCCTGGGTATGAAGATAAACTACATCCAACAGCAAGGCCTCTGATCAGGAAGTTTTGAGAAGCGTGGAACCACCTCTTATTTGATGGTGTTTACAGATCCACCTTGATCCGGGGGTGGTAGCACCTGTTAGGGTCCCAGCTATGGGCAAATAGTTAACTCCCAAACTGGGGTCAAAACGTGTAAATATAGGTTTTAATACCAGCAATACATTTTTTTAAAAAGATTATTACCAGCGTAATTTTCAAAGAAAAAATTATTACTAGCAATACATTATTACCAGGAATACTTTTTGAAAAAATAATTTTTACAGGAATATATTTTTGAAAAAAATAAATAGTGCCAGCAATACATTTTGGGGAAAATACTACAAGAAAGTCTTTTTGAAAACAATTTTTACCAACAATAAAAATTTTGTCGGCATTAAATAATTCATTGAAGTTGATATGCCGTAAAACAAAAATCAAACAAAATTAAGAATTGTTCTCTTATGATGAAATAGAAAATTTCCATAAAACGTATTGGAAAGTTAAAAAGCGATTCTTTAGAAAGACATGCAAATGTTGCATCAGTATATAAATTAGTACACGGTGAGTGGTGGGGGCGTAATAAAACAGTGCTCGATGTATAATAACAAATCTAAAATGTATGCTAATAGTAAATATGCGTTTTGTTCATCACCAAAAGCACAAATTCGAATATCATACAAAATGCAATCGTCAGGTTAGGGCTGAAAACTATTCAATTCGCATCTGTGAATTGATTTGTGCATGAAACTCGGAGTTGCGCTACTGTTGAGGAACTATATATATATATATATATATATATATATATATATATATATATATATATATATACGCAACCACGAATTCTATGTTCTCATGATGATTACGCAAGTAATATTTTCAAAATAACATCCTTCTCAATGCATTTAATTAAACGAAGGATATTAATTTAGTGTACAGTGTTAATGTCAGACAGTATTCACTGTAAATTTCAGATTTGAAATTAACTACAAGTCAGGTTAGGAATTATTTTCATATAAAAACGTCTCCATTTCTTTTTCTACCTCTCCCTCTCTCTGTCTGTCTCTCTTTCGTGCTCTCCATATATATATATATATATATATATATATATATATATATATATATATATATATGCGTTTGTTTCCCACCGTAACGAGACTGACCATAACGTTGACATAAAAATGCTACTCTGATCAAAGGAGGAAATAATTCACTACGATGTAAATCTCTAGAGAGTTCCTTAATCGGAAGGTCATCTACAGGAAATTTGCGTCCTGGCTTTTACAAAATTTCACCATTCCTGGTAGAACTTCTAATATCACTATGTGGTATACCTACTTACAAAAATGATGGAAAGAAATAGAAAAAAAAAGCTCTAAATGAATTCGCCTGATAAAAAAAAAGGAAATTTACCAGAATCCCTCATTCGTGCACATGTGTAGAATTACGGACATGACAAATTTAGTCCCAAATAAACTTAATATATAAAAATTATATATGTTTATCTCATATATATATATATATATATATATATATATATATATAATATTAGTGGTAAATATACATATACATATGAAAAATATATAAATATATATACATAGGTGCATACACATACATGTATATTTGTTTTAATAAAAATTCCAAGAGGATAGAATCCATGTAGAACTCAATGTCTAGGACAGAGTAAGGATATAATAAAAAGGCTTAAACACTAATATTCCATGGTCATAATTTATTCCATTGGAATCGTATATACGATCAATTCATCAGACCTACAAATTCAAAAAAAAAACAGAAAAACAAATATATATATATATATATATATATATATATATATATATATATATATAAGGAGGGAAAAGATGATTTTATGGGCGACAAGATAATTATTTCTCCAACTTGTTAGTGATTGGAGTCCAAATTAGGGTGAAACACCTAGATGTTAACATTCAATGTGATAACACTCACTTTATTGGTGCTACATAATCTTTCTAATTACTTTATGATTTGTTGCGTTGCAACTCTCTCTTTCCGCTGGCAGTGATGTTATTTATACCAACTGAGGACAACACGGCATCAATTTACAATTCTCGCTTTTTAACACGAGAATAGAAAGAAGGACGCCAACGACAAAATCGATGACTGAATATTTTCCGTCTTTGAAATAATTTCACGCTAATATCGCCACTCAGTTGTAGAGAAGGCGGGGGTGTCGGGGATAGCGAGGAATACTACAAAGAAATTTGAATGTGTCTACCAAATATTTTTGAGTGTATAGCATTTCTCTTGAAGAAACTATCAACCTATTCAATACGCCACTTTTTTTTTTGCTTCATTTTTTTAAAGACAAATATATATTTATGATATTGAATCTTTTGTATCGTTTTAATATTCATCCATTATGACAATAGAACATTTGTTGATGTAATAGAAACAAACCATTTGTGAGTAGGAAAATTTAATTTGAGAAATTGGGATTCGTGAAATTCAACATTTTTTTGCTTGAACAAACATTGAAAATGTCGATGAAAAATGGAAACTTTGATGTTTCTGACTTTCAATGGAGATCTGAAATTGAATTATTTATCTAATTTTTTCTTCAGCTCTTTGCCGTAAGCAAAAGCGACAAATAGTAACGTTTTTTCCCTTTTAGAAACAGAATATCGTCAGTATCTTAGAAAATATGGAACCATTGAATTCTAGGTTTTAGAGAGGCATTTCAAAGAATTTACCAATTTTAAAGTGTCTATAATCAAAATTGTTTTCTGGGGAATCAGATTCTGGCAATTCGAAGAAACTCTCTTTTTTTTTTTTGATAATGGGTGCCGGGATATATGAATGTTTCCAAGAAATGCAGCTTTGTAAAAAGTAAATTTTTTTGCGCATGAAAAAGACTGTCATGTCAGTCATAGAGTTATACATTTTACTGTTACGTGTAAATAGGTACATTCAAATCAACATGTATCTATGCATGCTGGTGAGTGCACAAATAGATAGATAGATAGATAATGAACAAAATGACATAGATAGATAGATAGATAGATAGATAGATAGATAGATAGATAGATAGATAGATAGATATAAATCAACATGTATCTATTCATGGTGGTGAGTGCACAAATAGATAGATAGATAGATAGATAGATAGATAGATAGATAGATAATGAACAAAATGAGATAGATAGATAGATAGATAGATAGATAGATAGATATAAATCAACATGTATCTTTTCATGATTGTGAGTGCACAAATAGATAGATAGATAAATAGATAGATAGATAGATAGATAGATAGATAGATAGATAGATAGATAGATATAAATCAACATGTATCTATTCATGCTGGTGAGTGCACAGATAGATAGATAGATAGATAGATAGATAGATAGATAGATAGATAGATAGATAGATGATGAACAAAATGAGATAGATAGATAGATCGATAGATAGATAGATAGATAGATATAAATCAACATGTATCTATTCATGATTGTGAGTGCACAAATAGATAGATAGATAGATAGATAGATAATGAACAGAATGAGATAGATAGATAGATAGATAGATAGATATAAGAAACTACAGTAACCATGAGTTTTCGGTAGAGCGAAAATATACTCACACATGGCAGCAAGTGTCTCTCCGCTTTCCTTCTCATGATAACCAGTGAATGTACAGCTCACCTTAAATCCAAGCAAAGAGTTTCAACGAAACTCAGAGCTGGGGGGGGGGGGATCAACTGACGGCCAATCCCCCCACCTACCAACAGTGGGCTTGGGAGACATGCTTTCAATAAAATTAAGAACAACGGGAGAAAGAAATGGCAAAAATAATTCCATGTTCGGACATTTTATCTAGCAAGAAATTCGGCCAACTAGATCATGAGAATACTGACGAGACACTTTCGCTTCGAGCCAAAGACATTCAATTTTCTTTTTTTTTTTTTTCAATTTTTCTTTCGAATAGGGATTTCCTACTAAACCAATAAATAGGATAATAAGTTACGTTAGAATGATTAAGACAAAAATATATATATATATATACAGAGAGAGAGAGAGAGAGAGAGAGAGAGAGAGAGAACAGAGAACAAAGAAGAGAGAGAGAGAGTTCTTAGAACGTTTGCTTTATGACCATGAGTCCCGGGTTCGAATGTCACATGTGGTTGATTTGTCGGGAAGGAGACTCCTGATGTTATCGGAATGGAACGATAACAGTGCCCGAAAACCATACTACGGGTTGATCCCAGCCTTGTGACTGAAATTCGGTTGAGAGCCGTCAATAGCTACGCTAGCACAAATCCACAAGTCATCGTGGCAGAGGGTTTAAGCGTGCTGGCCTTGTTCAAATTGTTAATCACACTAGATAACTCTCTCCCAGATAGTGTAACTAAGATCTGCTCAGCATAGTTGCAGTATGAACCACAGGTGGGCTCGGTGTGTGTTGAGCAAACACAAAATGTGCCTGAGTGAGCGTCTGCAATAGGGATTGGCTAGCCACCCTAGTAGACGGCTATCCTCGAATACGCGTGGCCATATATATATATATATATATATATATTTATATATATATATATATATATATGTATTTCTCTCTCTCTCTCTATATATATATATATATATATATATATAAAGAAATATCGTCTTAAGGTGTGCTATATTTATGGGATAAAGTGCTCAATATCAGAGATAGAGCGTGTGTAAATATAAAAGTGAACATAGAAGTCAACACTTAGAGGCGACAGTCTGTTTCATGCTATATGCAATCGTCCAATAGACATATGCTGTTATTTTTTCTCGGCTATTTATATATATGCGGGTTAGTGGTGCATTGTGGGTATTCTATTATGGCGGTTATTTTTTACCGGAAGTCGCTTTGTCTATTTATTTGGGTCAAATTATATTGCTCGTTTTTATTTTTTTTCTTATTTTATTTATTTATTTATTAACGTAGTAAAAATTTGTTTTGTTTTGGTTTGAGAATTTAATTAAAGCTATTTGTTCAATTTTGGGGGTTGGTTGTTGTAGTTCATTCTAACTATTATTTTTTTGGCAGGAACAGTTTTTTAATTTGGGATTGGTTGGATGAATTTAGGTCAATTTATTTGACCATTAGAAAAAAGGATTGGCTATATTTTCTCTTTTCGGTTTTCGGTTTTAAGCAACATAGTATTTATTTATTTTATTTTATTTTATTTTTTATTAGTGTATTTGTTTGTTTTATTTTATTTTTCCGTTTTTCATTTTTTAGGTTACGTAGTAAAAATTTATTTTCATGCCTGCATTTTTTGAGATGAGCTCGGATCTTTTGTTTAATAATTTATTTTGGTCGGGGAAAGTAATGATAGCTATTTTTCCTCCAAGCAAAGTTTGCAAGTTTTTGATTGGTTGTTGTAGGCTGATGACTTTTTTCCTTATCTTCCAAGATATTTTTGGTGTGATGTGCGTTTTGTTTTTTATTTTCCAGATATACTTAGAAAGCATAGTACTGTTCGCATATTTACTATTTGTGAACGATGTTTTGTGTGTATAATTTCTTTGCTTCCAGGGTCCTTCAGTTACTCCTATGTATACTTTTCTTCATTATCTGGTGATTTTATCGTGGCTTGGTATATTACGTTGTTTTTGTAAACAATTTCCGTTTAAGGGACATTCGTTCTTTATTCTGCAGTTGCACGTGGGTTTAGTTTGTTCGTGTGGTTTGTTGATAATTTTCCTATTGTGCTTTTTTATTATTTGTGCCATGCTCTCGGTGCAGCTGTAGCTGATTTTTACTGTGTTTTTGTTGAATATCTTGTGTAAGGTGCTTGATTCTGGGAAGTGTTTGTGTAGGAGTTTGAAGAATATTTTTCCTATGTTTGTTTTTACGTTCTTGCTGTACGGTGGGTTGAACCATATGATATTTCTTCTCCTGTTGGTCTTTTTTTGTATTCTGTGGTGAGTATGTAGTATTGCTGGGAATCCGCTATCTTTTAGGGCCGTTTCATAGTCTTTCTTAGCTTTGTTAAATAGGAGTTCATTGGAGGAATTGTCAGGGAGCCTGCGGTTAATCGATTTTGGTATCTGTTTGATTATAGAAGGTGGATGGTTGGAAGATATATGTATGTAGAGTGGTTTATCGTTAGGTTTTCTGTATGGTTTATATGTGCCTTCTCTTAGGTTGAAGGTAACATCTAGGAAATCTACTTCGTTTAGGTTAGTATTTATATCTATGTCGAATCCGTTATTTTTAAAAATCTTTATTATTGCTTATTATTTATTAATAAAATAAAATAAAGTAAATAAATACTATGTTGCTTAAAAACCGAAAACCGAAAAGAGAAAATATACAAATAAATTGACCTAAATTCATCCAACCAATCCCAAATTAAAAACTGTTCCCGCCAAAAAAATAATAGTTAGAATGAACTACAACAACCAACCCCCAAAATTGAACAAATAGCTTTAATTAAATTCTCAAACCAAAACAAAACAAATTTTTACTACGTTAATAAATAAATAAATAAAATAAGAAAAAAAATAAAAACGAGCAATATAATTTGACCCAAATAAATAGACAAAGCGACTTCCGGTAAAAAAATAACCGCCATAATAGAATACCCACAATGCACCACTAACCCATATATATAAATAGCCGAGAAAAATAACAGCATATGTGGCCTGACGATTGCATATAGCATGAAACAGACTGTCTCCTCTAAGTGTTGACTTCTATGTTCACTTTTATATTTACACACGCTCTATCTCTGATATTGAAATCTTTATCCCATAAATATAGCACACCTTAAGACGATATTTCTTTATATTCAGCTCCTGGTAAACAGTAGAGACACTCTCGCTACATTTATAACACCGTATGGACATGGAAATATTTAACCTCGACTACTCCCTAAAAAACATACCCATCCCATCCCCTACTATATATAAACTAAAATTAATTGAAAAAATAGAAAGTTTCTAAAAAGAATGAGATGGAAAGTCCACTTTTAAACCAGGACCTTCACAATAACAACACACCTAAGAAGGAAAAATACGGCTTCAAAACAAAAAAAATGCCCCCACAACAAAAAAAGAATTAGACGATTTCGAGAAAGACTTAACTGACCTAGTTAGAAACATAAAATTCCATAAAAAAATAAGATGCATTCCAAAAAAACTAAAAGCAGATATAACTAAAACAAACAATTCAGCAAGTGTATTTATCGCTGCTGACAAAACGAGAAATTTATACAAACTAAGCCCTCCTACACACAATAAATTACTCAAGAACAACATAACCAAAACATACAAAAAGGCACCCCAAACTACAGAACACGATATCAATGAGGAAGCTAAAACAATCGCCCAAAAATTAGACCTAGATGACCGAATAAATTGTATTAGCAAGGCACGAGCCTTTATCACACTAAAAGACCATAAACAAAATTTCAAAACTAATCCTGCATGTAGACTCATAAACCCAGCCAAAAGCGAACTAGGTAAAATAAGTAAAACAATACTAGAAAGAATTAATTCTGAACTTAGGAAGAAATTAGGAGTAAACCAATGGAAAAATACGAAAACAAATATTGACTGGTTCCACAACATAAATAACAAACAAAATTGCCAATTCCTACAATTAGACATAAAAGATTTTTACCAATCCATAACAGAACGTATGCTAGATAAGGCCATCAACTTAGCTCAGGAACAAATAATAATAAAACCAAGCGAAATCAACATCATTAAGCATTCCCGTAAATCATTTTTATTACACAATGAAGAAGCATGGATAAAGAAAGATGGGATATTTGACACTACAATGGGAAGCTTTGACGGTGCAGAGGCATGTGAAATCATAGGCATTTACTTGCTACACGAACTGAGCAAAATAATAGATAAAAATGACACAGGACTCTACAGGGACGACGGTCTCATAATCTTAAGAAACTGTAACAAACAAAACACAGACAAAACTAGAAAAGCAATAATAAAGATTTTTAAAAATAACGGATTCGACATAGATATAAATACTAACCTAAACGAAGTAATTTCCTAGATGTTACCTTCAACCTAAGAGAAGGCACATAAAAACCATACAGAAAACCTAACGATAAACCACTCTACATACACACATCTTCCAACCATCCACCTTCTATAATCAAACAGATACCAAAATCGATTAACCACAGGCTCTCCGACAATTCCTCCAATGAACTCCTAAATAACAAAGCTAAACTAATTTTGACTATGAAACGGCCCTAAAAGATAGCGGATTCCCAGCAATACTTTTCATACTCACCACGAATACAAAAAAGACCAACAGGAGAAAAATATCATATGGTTCAACCCACCGTACAGCAAGAACGTAAAAACAAACATAGGAAAAATATTCTTCAAACTCCTACACAAACACTTCCCAGAATCAAGCACCTTACACAAGATATTCAACAAAAACACAGTAAAAATCAGCTACAGCTGCACCGAGAACATGGCACAAATAATAAAAAAAGCACAATAGGAAAATTATCAACAAACCACACGAACAAACTAAACCCACGTGCAACTGCAGAATAAAGAACGAATGTCCCTTAAACGGAAATTGTTTACAAAACAACGTAATATACCAAGCCACGATAAAATCACCAAATAAAAGAAAAAGTATACATAGGAGTAACTGAAGGACCCTGGAAGCAAAGAAATTATACACACAAAACATCGTTCACAAATAGTAAATATGCGAACAGTACTATGCTTTCTAAGTATATCTGGGAAATAAAAAACAAAACGCACATCACACCAAAAATATCTTGGAAGATAAGGAAAAAAGTCATCAGCCTACAACAACCAATCAAAAACTTGCAAACTTTGCTTGGAGGAAAAAATAGCTATCATTACTTTCCCCACTAAAATAAATTATTAAACAAAAGATCCGAGCTCATCTCAAAATGCGGGCATGAAAATAAATTTTACTACGTAACCTAAAAAATGAAAAACGGAAAAATAAAATAAAAAAAACAAATACACTAATAAAAAATAAAATAAAATAAAATAAATAAATACTATGTTGCTTAAAACCGAAAACCGAAAAGAGAAAATATACAAATAAATTGACCTAAATTCATCCAACCAAT